TGCCCTTCTCCGGTGAGTTTTCTGTTTGCTCACCACCCTCCCCCTCTCATCTAGATGCGACCACATGCTAATCCAGCCGCTCCTTCCCTCCTCGCCCCCACCTCTCCGTGGCACTGCTGGGCCGCTCAGTGCCTGCTGCCTTTCAAACGCCTGTGCAGGTGCATTCAGGGTGGTCACCTCACAGGCCCACCCGTCGTCCCCCAGACGGGAACCACCCGAGCACGTCCTAGCGGGGCTCCTGGTCCACCTGCCCTCTCTGGTCCACCCGTCTGCTGCTCACAGATCGCTGATCCCTAAGACGCATCTCAGTGGAAACTGTTCAAAATCCTTCACTTTTTAAAGAAAGAATACAAACATTTTAGCCCGCGATTCAGCGCTCCCCCCAATTGATTTCAAAACACTTTGCCAGTCTGTGCTGACCCTATGCCAGGCAAACTGGGCCATTCACTGCCCTCCTCATGAAACCTATCATCCCAAATACATTTTAGAAAAAGATCTGGGCTTCTGAGCCTCTGCTTTCAATTTCCTAGCTGTGTGAGCTGGGTGGTAAAGCAAATAATGGCAACACTTTATTTACTGGGTCCTTATTTTGTGCCACACATTGTGCTATGCACTTAGCGTGTGTTATTTTAATTATTCTTTCCAATTATTATTATTCCTATAGTGTAGGTGAGAAGACTGAGGCATAAAGGGTCTAAATGTCAAGCCCAAGATACCCAACTTTCCTCTGCCGTGTCCTCTGTAAACGGAGGGCTACTGTGGGGGTTGAACAGCACCCCGCGCACTGCCAGGCTCCGACTGCCGCGTGGCCCCCCCTCTTCCTCCCTCCCTCCCTGTCGGCGCATGTTTGAGGCCCCAGCCCAGTTCCTCCCCTTTGCAGTCAGGGCTGAGNCCCTCCCTCCCTGTCGGCGCATGTTTGAGGCCCCAGCCCAGTTCCTCCCCTTTGCAGTCAGTTCCTCCCCTTTGCAAATAATCTCCCAGCAGTAACTTTAATCTGCATTGCCTTTGAGCTCCTATAGAACTAAATCTTCACCATAAGCATTTGATGTATTTCATTCATAGCCTGATTCTTTCTATGTGTTTAGCACATTTACCTAAAATATTCTAAACTCCTGGAAAGCAAGGATGGTGCCTGTTGGCTTAATACACCTCCCAATGTTCAGTTAATGTTTTTTGATTAACTTTTGACTAATATTAACTGACTACATACATACACACATGTAACACACACACACACACACACACACACATATATATATATGCAAATAATCTCCCAGCAGTAACTTTAAACCCTTCCCACCGTTCTCAAGCTTCCAACCTTGACCCATTCCCGCCGGGCACCCCTCCCACCAGTTCGCGGAGGGAAAGCCAGCAGAGACAAACTTCCTGTCTTCCACCAGGCCTAGGAACTCACCTGCCTCTGCACCCACCTAGTCCCCCTTTTTCCTCCTACCTCCTAAGGGAACCCCTCCAGCTACGGCTGGATCTCTTGTCCCCCGTCTTCTCAGGGGACTTGCTCAGCTCAGGACCTGCTCCTTCTGCAGCTTTGTCACCTTCCCCTCAGCAATCTCCTCTCACCTGGAACATGCTCCAGTCCCTCTCCTGTGTGACTGCGCATATCCATCTGGCTGCCACCTTCCACCCTCACTTCAAGCCAAACCTCTCCTAAGAGCAGACTCCCCTTCCCCACCCC